AGTTGGTGAGGTTTCTAGGCGAGGAGGAGGAGGAAATACCTCTTTTGAAATTTGGACTGGAATTTCCTGAGTAAACGTGAACAGTTATGACCCCCTTTTTAAATTTTATTAAAAAAAAAAATTGGGGTGACTTCTGCTTTGGAAATGGGATGGGCTTGTAACTTTTGTTAATACTAGGAATTTAGACAATAGAAAAATAGGGGTTAGAGAAGGTTGAAGGAAGGTATTAAACTGAAGAGAGGAGGTTGCATTTTCCACGCTGCTGGCTGAGTGGCTGACTGCTTTGTTTGGAAATGGCGTGTCTTGGAATTTCCTCCCTTTGTATTTACTCTAAAAGTACACAAAAAAGAAAAGTGGAGGGATATATCAGAATTGAAAGCCAGCGATGGTCGCAATTTTAATTTCTCCGTCTGCAGCTTTTGTTTTCTGTTTTTATTTTATTTGCTAATTGCTCAATTACAGCCGACCACGTTGCTTTAATTTTTTTTCTTCAGTTTGAATGTGAAGAGTAGTACCAATATATAGTACAAACAATTTACTTGGAAGCAGAAGTGTCTTCTACGCTTATCCTGTTTCATGGATGCCTTTTCTTTTCAAGTGGGTATAAAAGGCTACAATCAAATGCTAGAAAGGGTCATGGAAGGAGGAGTGCTTTAATGGGAAAGCATCGATCAAAGCACTGGGAGGTGCATGTAAATATCCAGGAAAATTCCAATTGATTTGAAATGAAACCCTTGTGTAAAGTGAAGTGGTTGATTAAGGCTTGATGGGGAAAAAGATAAGAAGGGATTTCCCATCAAATGACATGGCCAGCCACAGCCAAAAAACAGAGATAAAAACTTGGAGACATCATAATTGTATCCAGCTTCAATGGACATGACTCCTCCGCTCTACCGTCTCTTCTTCGGATTTGCAAGAGTAAACGTTAATGTTGGGGGAATATATGTCATCCGTATGAATATTAATTGGTCTTTCAACACTTGTGAATCGAACAATGAAAAGGGTGCCACGGACTATCTAAATGAAGAGCAAGATGCATACATTATGGGTAAGAATTACGATTGGCCTTTCTAGTGTTCATGGGTAAATTTTGAACAAGATGGAAACTTGGAAAAATGATCCATCTACCTTTTATGGGCCCAATAATTCTCAAGTAGTAGTATCAAACACTGCCAGCTTTAAGGCTCCAGATTGTTTAACTGTTAGACCATTCCATACATCCAAACCAATACAATGGGCTCATTGGACCCCAATCGCTAAACCCAAGGACCAAGGTAGAATTTTATCTGGATGGGATAAGTCCGTTGTTTATTGACTCCTGATAATAAAATTAGCACCATTTTACAAATTAACTTTTGCAAAAAGGGGGAAAAAAAAGTTTACTAGTAGTACGTATTTAGTTTCAAGGGGAAATGTAAAAGAAAAAAGGTAGCTTCTGTTAATCTGTTATAGTCACTCCAATATATGATGATTTTGCTTGTTGACTGGAGAGCGAGACAAGGCTAGGCCGAGAGAGATGTTGTTGGCCTACTTTTAGTAATTAGTATGAAGGATTGAAGCTATATTTGTACATGCAAACAGATGCCATCATAGAGAAAAGCTAAGGCCCATATATAGGCTTGAAAATGATGTAAAACAATGACAAATCAATTCATATTTATATGGACGTTACAACTCAATACGAAAAAATAATGGACTTAGCATAGGGGCCGGCAGGAGTCTCCATTTAGGTTGGAAATGGTTCAGCTTTCATTATCTTCTCAGGTCACAGCTGCTGGGAGAGAAAGGTGATATCCACTTGGAGCTGCCGCTCTCATTCCCTTTTTCATTTCTTTTCCAAATCAAAAATTAATGAAGACAAACTCCAAACCTCTCTTGGGAACCATTGCTTTTTATAGTTTAATGCTACTCTTTCAAAAGGAAATCTTCAGATAGTGAATTTAAAAGTTTAGTTATTAGTAGGATGAACACATTTTTGTTTCTCATTTTTCTTTTTGATATATGTAAAGAAAGGTTAAAGAGAGAGAGAGAAGGGATTATAAACAATGGAGTTTCTCTTTTCCAAAAGAGGAATAATGACTGTTGAGCTAAACCTTCACTGCCAGGATGAAAATGTTAGCTGAAAGAGAGTTGAAGGTGAGCTGTAATCACTCAAATCAAAACTAATTAACATAAACTATATGTAGGGTTGGACCACTCCGTAGGCAACACGACGGCGCTTTACCCCATCATAGGAACTCAAATTATGGAGTAGCTCAGAGCAAGACTAGGAGACAGTGAGTGGCTCAAGGACTCTAAGTCTAGCTTGTGCTTACAAGACTTGAACCCTAATCATATTTATTAACCAATATATATCATAGCTTGTGTTGTTAGAGAGGCAGTCAATGCACAATATTTGCATTGGCATTGCATGAGAAAAGCCCACCGTTTGATACATTCTCCCTTCTCCAACCCTCAATGTTGAATATCATTCTTGGGTTAAAAAGAAAACTAAATAATGGCAATCGTGCTCATTTCAGAAAAAGGTGAAAGAGATGACGTAATTGATACACAGAAAAGAAAAGTAAAACCCAACAACGATTGGGAAATGATAATTTCGATGGCCAAAATGTCACTTCTTTTATACACATCAAATCAAGGAAAAAGAAGAGAAAAAGGTCGACTCTCTCTCTCTCTCTCTCTATGTAAAAGTAAAAAGCAAAAAAAGAGGAAAATTTACCCAAGCCATGTAGGTTTTAACCTCGTTGCTTTCTCAGCTTTGGCAATTTCTGGAAACAGCCCTCGTCCAAGTGCACGTGAAGCTACGGAGAGCATTTGGGTCCATGCTTCGATGCTCACGAGAGACGATGTGGAAATAAATAATATTGGGCAACTCTAGAATTTTGACCTGTCTTGATTAAGCCCTGATAGCGATGCATCAACACAATTAATGCCAATTAATGAAGCTTTCAGTGCATCAAAAAGATTTTTGCTTCTATATCCTGCTTATGCTTTTGACCGTGATTTGTCAAACCAAATTCATCTGCCCCAGAAGTCAATCCCGCCCCGCTGTGTGTCGTCTTTCCATGGTTTTCAACCATATGGGGTTTAGGGTTACCCCTCCTCACATGGGGATTCAGACAAATAATCCTAGAAGACTACTTGACCACTGCGTCACACGCCATTTGCTATCGTCTTTGCATGATTTCTTGTGAATATCCACTGTTACATAAAATTCACCTTAGGTACGTTACCTAGTAAGCCGATTTACATGTCATCTCGTGATTGGAAGACTCAAAGGCAATGGTTTCATAAAACCTTTTTTCTCGATATCTGATATTAAAAACAATTAATCCTGTAAAATGGATACTTAAATCATACACCTTTTCCTTTTGATGTTTAATTTAGAAGATTTGATATACTTACATATCCGCACTGCCTTTAATGAAGATTTAGATGAAAGTTTGAGCTTTGGGAGATGTCGACAGCCAAAAAATGCAATTAAATAAGAACTGTGTTAAAGAGATAGAGGAACAAATGCAGAATCATGTGTTTATTTACTTATAATAATAAATAATAATAATAATAATAGCGATGGGTCATGGTAATAAACTCTGTGATAGTGCTTATCTTCAAGTGGCTTTATCTCACATCATTAGATCATGCTTCTTCAATCTCGTGGGCCAAAAAATTATCATGATACAAGGTTAAAATACCCTCCTAATGTAAGCATGCGAATGGCATAGTGTGAAGATAAACTGACTTAAAGAAAAGTTAACCCATATTGTTATGTGACTTAATCATAAATCAATAAACTAAAAGAAAGGTGGGCTAAAGCAATCTTTGAGTTGAAAAAGATAATGAATGTGCATTTGTCTGGTAACAACAACAAGTATAGTGTTTGAGTAAAGCGAAGGGGATGAGGTGGAAGTCAAGTCAGGTTCTAACATTACTTGTTCTGAAACAACGTAAGGTGGATCGAGCTAAGAAATGACAAGGGTTCTTTGAATTAATCTTAGTTCCTATCAAAGTTTAAAAGTTTATTAGCATTTTCTATAAAAACGGATTAATTAGTAAAAGCAAGGTTTCATATCTGTTACATAAACATTGTAGAGATAAATCCAACCAAACATGGGGTTTGCAACATGACAAGGAAAGCATGGTCACATTTGCCACTACAAGTACCTCCAACATCTGGCCACGATAATCCTCCGCACTGTTATAAGTAATCTCTGATGTTGTATTGCGTCTAAATCCGCCGTATGATTCCAAAAATTAATGAATGTCCCACTTGTCCACATATACTTGCTTAAATCCAAAGAAACAAATTTGCATTTCCTTTTATTGATGCTTCCCTTTCAATAAAACCTACTCCCTCCCTCAGAGAGAGACTAAGAGTGCTTCACTTTGAATGGAAACAACCGCCCTTGCCCCTAAAGAGAGAGAGAGAGAGAGAGAGAGAGGTGTACAGTACAGCTAAATCATCAAATAACTAGTGTCAGTTTTTTAGATCTAAGATAGTTTTGTTAAAAATTTTAATCAAGGTAAAATGATTGATGGATATTCATCATGGCTGTGCTCAAATCACATTATCTTTGTTTATCTAAACTTATACTAATCGATTGAACATTAAATCTCCAACATGTCAATTCATGGATGCATGCACCCAAGAGATACATACTGTTGGAATGCTAGCAGGCAACAAATGTATTCTCAAGGCAGATACGCCTAAGGGGGTTTATAGTCGTTACATTTGTATGATTACCTAATTATGATCGAGGACAGGCCAATCAAAGTGATCAGGGTCAATGACTTGTTCAGTTGGTGGGCCGTCCTCAACCCCAATTAACATGTGAGGTTGGTGAAAGGCACTGTCAACCTTTTATTGTCCTTCCCACCACCATAATATCTCTACAATTTTTTTGTTAAGTATTTTTCATCTTTTAATGTACCAATACTACTAATATTCTTGAAAATTATGGCAAGTCATGATGAAAACAGTGGCATACATCGACGTAAACGGCAGTGTGTTTGAGGAAGACTAGGAGAGGATTTTAAGAGTGAGTTGCCTTTAGGTTATAGGCTACATTTGTAGCTAGTAGAGGTCAAGAAAAAGTAGAGCCCTGTCTTTATTAGAGAAATAAATAATCTGAGAAATTAAAGTCTCAAAGAAGCCGGACTGTGCAGTGTACACGCCCTTATAAATTTCTTATCAGTAACTCAATAAAACCTCACAGTTCTTCTTCACCCTGTTCTCTCCTTTGGTAAAATTTCCCCAGTTGTTTCTTGTATCTTTCTGGTGTTAGTGAAGCTTTGCAAGCTTGCAACTCTAATGGCCAAGAAGCCAAGAATTGTAATAATCGGAGCAGGGATGGCTGGTCTTACTGCAGCTAACAAGCTCTATACTTCCACTGGCTCCAAAGATTTGTTTGAGCTATATGTTGTTGAAGGTGGCACTAGAATTGGTGGCAGAATCAACACTTCAGAGTTTGGTGGTGACAGAATTGAGATGGGAGCTACTTGGATCCATGGTATAGGAGGCAGCCCTGTTCACCAAATTGCTCAAGAAATCCATGCACTTGAGTCTGACAAACCATGGGAGTGCATGGATGGCTTCTCGGATGAGCCTAAGACCATTGCCGAAGGTGGTTTCCAGTTAAATGCCTCTATTGTTGACCCCATATCGACTCTTTTCAAGAACTTGATGGATTTTGCTCAGGGAAAGCTGACTGAAGAGAGTGCACGCAGTGGAGATGTTCGTTACTATAATTTTGCAGCTAAAGCAGCATCCAAAGGTTGTACAAGCAATGGTGGCTTTGGTAACAAAAGTGTCGGTGCTTTTCTTAGACAAGGCCTTGATGCTTATTGGGATTCTTCCAAGGACCGTGACGAGCTCAGAGGATATGGTAAATGGAGCAGAAAGTTGCTAGGAGAAGCCATTTTTGCCATGCATGAAAACACGCAAAGGACTTATACTTCAGCTGGTGATCTGTTGACTCTAGATTTTGAAGCAGAAAGCGAGTACCGCATGTTTCCTGGTGAAGAAATCACTATTTCCAAAGGTTACTTGAGCATAATCGAATATCTTGCATCTGTTCTTCCTCCTGGAGTTATCCAATTAGGCCGCAAAGTCTCAAGAATTGAATGGCAACCTGAGAGTCATCAATCTGTAGAAATGGCAAACGGTTATGATTCCAGGCCTGTGAAGATACACTTCTTTGATGGATCGGTTATGTCAGCTGATCATGTGATAGTCACAGTTTCACTGGGGGTCCTAAAAGCTGGAACTTGTCCAGATTCAGGTATGTTCAATCCTCCCCTTCCTTCTTTCAAGACAGAGGCTATATCAAGACTCGGATATGGTGTTGTTAACAAGTTGTTTCTCCAACTGTGTCCAACTGGTAAGCGAAAAGCCAAAGATATGAACAAATTTCCTTCCTTGCAAATGGTTTTTCATCCTTCAGAGTCCGACTTAAGACATAAAAAGATCCCATGGTGGATGAGGAGGACAGCTTCTCTGTCTCCCATTTATAACAATTCAAGCGTCCTGCTATCATGGTTTGCAGGGAAAGAAGCTCTTGAGCTTGAAACACTTAGTGATGAAGAGATTATAAACGGAGTGTCAACTACAGTGTCTAGTTTATTATCACAACCCCACGCGGCAGTTAAGTCCAATTCTCATGAATTCTGCAACGGGAATTTGAAATCTGTAGAGAGCTTGGGTGACAGTGAAGTAAGATTTGCTAAGGTTTTGAAGAGCAAATGGGGTCGTGACCCTCTATTCTTGGGATCTTACAGTTATGTCGCGGTTGGATCAAGTGGTGATGATTTGGACACAATGGCTGAACCATTACCAAAGGTTCGGAGCTGTGAGTCAGCTGGTGTGCATCCACTTCAAATTTTGTTTGCTGGGGAGGCTACACACAGAACCCACTATTCTACTACCCATGGAGCTTATTTTAGTGGTCTAAGGGAAGCCAATAGGCTTCTGCAACACTACCATTGTGTTGGAGTTTAGACTTAGCAATTTAATTTAATTTTTTTTTAATACCTATTTTGCTCATATTCCATCTAAAGCATCTTTCTTTCTCTTTCTTTAAAGTAAGTAAGAGTGAACGAGAGCAAAAGAGGGAAAAAAGAAAAGAAATGGGGGGAATGAAAGAGATAGATGGGGACATTTTTAGATGTATGGCATGAATTAAAGAAGCTTCTTTGTCATTTTTCTATCGGTTTGTGAGTTCAGGGTTTCCTTTTCAATATATAATCTTGCTTTGATATTCAAAGCAAAACCATTTTAAGATTGTGCTTGGCATTGAATGTTTGATCGTTGGGAGTAAAGAACAAGAGAAGCTTTGGATCCCACCTCTCTCTTCATCTCTCTCTGTCTCTGGTGCTTGTGTTGGCTTTTGGCTCACTGGACAGGATCCGCTAAACCCGGCTCTTTCCAGCTAGGAATCTCTTAAATACGATTCCTTTTCTGGCTTTCTCTTTGCCCCTGACTTTGTGATCTCAATTCTCAAATCCAAACAAGGCGTTGTTATCTCTCTCTCTCTCTCTCAGCCTTTGCCAACAAAAAACTGTAATGAACTCTGGACAATCACTGAGTTGGCTGTGCCTCTGATGTAGTAGAGAGCCTCCAATAAGACACCCTCCAACGCAGCCCTGAATCGGACCAATAGCTCAGTCCATGGAGTCCATCACTTCTCCTTACCAAAATGTCCTGAACAATCGGACAGAATCAGAGATGCTTATTGCCATCTGATTGCTTTGCTTCGATCTTTGGCTCTGGGTGGGGGGACCCATTCGGAATGATAGGTCCAACTCCATGCATACGTGACATTGCAGACACACACAAAGACAGTTAGCTCTTAGCCTCTTACTAGACAGCACCAGTGGCCTACGGCCTACCACTTGGTACCATAGATTTCTCTGCAAAGCAAATCCATAGCATTGTATGTAGACATAGAAAAGGACAGTCCACAACCAAACAATATCAGCTTAAAAATACCACAGATTTTTTCTGTCCGGGGTTCGTTCTCTTCTCAGATATCCCAATTCCATCCGTTTGATGTCATGGTATCCAAATCCAACCATCCAAAAGTGTCTTCGTCTTTTAATTGGGTCCACCACACCCTAATAATTGACCCTGATGCAGATGAAGATGTCTCATGTCTTTTAAAACCACCTGTAACAGCAAAGAAGAGCAAACCTCCTTTGGTTTTCTTTTTTCCTAAGGGAAATCCAAAATGGTTTTCAGCTGCTTAGTCCTTTGGGTTCGATATTTTAGGTTGTGTGAGAGCACTGTATGGTCAAATCAGTAGAGCTATTCATAGAGACTCCATTATTGTGATTTTGTGAGATTTGCCAGGCTCTCCCCCAGAAAAACTGGAATGGCCCACTTGCTGTCTCCTTTTGCCTCTTGTGGGCTTCAATCACCCTTAGATGATTGTGCATATCGCAGACCACTCTGTCACCAAGTCCTTCTCTGATTTCATAAACAGACAAATGAGGATCTCCATTTCCCAACCCACCCACCTCGCCCGCTGCCCCGTCCCCAAACGTCTTACTACTAATTACTTGCTTGAAACACACCCTCTTCTTGCCCCTGATCATCATTATCAATCCCTGTGTGTTAATCCTAGTGCTTAGGTTAATCAATTCTCCTCGGCTCCAGTTTTCTATCTGATACCATAATTTGTCATGATCACACCCTCTAATCCAAAAGTCTATGTAATCATCAATACCAAATCATAGTCTAACTATTGCTGTTAATTATTCAGGTTACAGAGTAGTGCAATGCAAGCTAACTTGGATGGAATGCTTTCCTTTCCTTTAAACCTTTTTCACTGTTAGATTGCGGCCCCGTCATGGTGTAAACTATAAACCATCAATCGTCGACACGTGTAACGGGATGCTGGTACATAGTCGTAATCAATGCAGGATAAGACACGGCAATCTCAAGAGAATCTTCAATGACAGGAAAACATAAATAGCTAATTCTTGGTGGATTTTGCTTGTTAATATCACGTTACATGGGAGATCCATTCTTAACTTTACATCTCACTTTTCAACGTGGTCTTTGAATCCAGCCTCCGTATTCATGGACCATGGTCCATGGTTCATCATCACAGATTAGCACACACACAAATTACTTTCATTTTGAAAGGCTACTAAAGTTATGACCACTGCAATCATTCCTTTGAAACTGTCAACTGCAACGTGGAGCCTAAGGATTGAACCAAGGTGGAACAATTTTTGTCCAAAGCAATAAAAAGTAAAAAGAGACAAGAAGAACGGGATTTGCTCAAAGAACACCTACTGAGCAATCCAGCTTGATAAGTTTTGTTCTTTTTTTATTCTTCCGTTCTATAAGTTGTAACAAGTAATCTTCAAAAAAAAACATGATACACCATAGTAAAATGGTTAAACCGGTTACAAGGTAAACAAATTTGCTTCAAATGTCAGTAATTTGAAGTCAGAAGATTGGAACCGTACGTACGATTCCAGGCTCCAGCCCTGCTTCCTATACTTTCCGTTTATTCTGTTGAATGATGATTAGAATCATTTTCTCGTTTGAAATTTCCGGGACTCATCATTTTCCACTTCAAGACAATGAAACTTTTTGGTGAGGGAGTCCAATTGTTTATTTGTTCTTTAATCAAATGATCCTGTTTACTTTCTTCCAAATCTTAGATTTGAAAAGTCTAATGACGCACAAGGGAGCTGTGTACTTTATTCTTCCCAAATGAGAATTAACTTTTCTATCCTTAAGAGAGCCAATGATCCTCCAACTTGGAGATTGTCTGATTTAAGTAAGTTATCATGTTGGCATCTAACCAAATTTTGCTTTATAAAGTTCCTTGTGATGATAGCAGGTCACACTCTTTTAACTCAAAAGAACAAATGGCATGTCAAAAACAAATTCATGTGAAGGAATCTAGAGAGCTACTTGTAGTGATCATAGGGGCTCCGGGGGGGTGGAGGCCCCCCTCAATGCCCCCCCGCCCCCCGCCCCCCCTCCAGAAGTCATAAGCTCATAGCTGATAATCGAGTGAACCTTATCGTTGATGCCAAGCTCTCCATATAGTATGTTTTCGTTTCACTGATCTTGTCCAATTCACATAGTGTTGAAAACCACCCAGCTTGTCGGATTTGTCTTTTTAATGAGTGTATAGGGGGTCCAGCAATGTTAAAACGGTCAGGTAACTACCAGTAGCAAACAAAAGTTTATGATTTGGAGCCATTTTGGCCAGTGGGACACTGTAGGTAATTTGCACTAGTAAGACCTAGGTGGTAACAAAAGCACTGATGGGGTTTGCTTTTCTGATCAATTTGCTCGCACCCTGTCATTGGACCCTTTTGCACCCCCTAAGGTGAGAGCGGCATTATTTTCTCTTTTACGGGTAGGTTCCATCTACGCCTTTTTCCCTTAAGCCTTGTTCGATGGGTTGGTTTCCAACTTGTACGTTGAAAAACTATTTCTTATAATCAAATTTTAGTTTCTGTTTTACATTTTTGTCACAATCTATATCACAGTTTTACAACTCGATACTTTTAATGTCAAAAACATTAACAATAATGTGCTGTGACTGCCAAATTCTACTACTTCATGCTAATTTTACATTAACATTTGTCATAAGATCCAAGATATGAAACAATCTCATCTAATTTTCTGTTGCCTTCCAAATCCTTGACTTAATTTGTACTTTAAGGTGTGATATAATCAACCGTTGAAGATAACAAATGGTAGAGAATTAATTATCATTAACCATTTACATTAAAATTATCGTAATTCAAATCTTTTAAATTGAAATGAAATCTCTTTTGTTTCGATATAATTTATGGGGTTTGAGTACTAATTTCAGACATCGTAAAAGTTTTGAAGAGAACACCTAATCTAAGATGTCAGAAATTTTTCTTAATTTACTATATATGTTTAAATTTTAATAATTTATTATGTACTACTAAACTCATGGTATGGAAATTAAAACATTTTTTTGGAATGGAAGAAGATTCATACATACTTTTAACCAAAAAGAGAATTGTTAAATCTTAATTTGTCCACATACTGCCCCAAGTACAGAAAACTCAATCATGAACCATGATAGAGTTTGAGAAAGTAGAAAGACAAAGCGGAAATCATTTCAATTTATAGGTCAGAGAACTTAATGTTTGGGCTTTTGTCATCAAATATCTTGGTCTAAGCTTTCTTTCTTTGTAATTTAGTCATCGTATAGAGAAGTAATATTTTTTTCGAAAAGCATCAAATTCATCAATAAAGAAGGAAAAAAAACCCTCCACCATTGCAAAGAACAAAAGGGTAGATAGTTTTGGATCATATATCAGTCCTATTTAACTGATACATCTTTCCAAAACCTCCTCCAAGTACAAACCAAGGCCAAAAACCGAACCATCAAAGAGGGCCCCTGCATTCACCCCTCCTAAACAAAAAATCCCAAAGGTTGCAGACACTCGAGAACTTGTCTGTGCATCCGTGTATCGAAAGAGACCTGATCTCTCAATCCAGTAGAAATTAGGGAGGGATCACTACAAAACTTACACAAAAACACAAATCCAAAGAAACAGGATTCATTCACAACCATCAGCCCCAACCTGACTCAGCACCACATCATCGAAAGGACTCAATTCACATCCAGTATAATGAAGTAGTAGTAAGAGTAAAAATAGAATAGAGCTGAGCTATAAAGTCTTTGAATCCCATATTAAGCAGTCTACCAGATTTTGGAGGCAGCATCAGCACATGTTAGTGTGAACTTCCAATTTCTTTCTCAATTCAAGGAGGAGATCACAAAAGGCCAAAATGTGTTATGGCATGCTAACTAATTAAGGGTAAAATAAAAGTGAAAAGTGACGAAAGGGTTCGAAGAAACAAGTCATAACTCAAGGGAATATTGGGTGGTAACTTACCTCGAGATACCAGACATTCTGATTTAACAGCCTAAGCCTTAGTTGTAAAAGTAATAGATTTAGGTTATCAATCACTAGCCACCAGCCTCTTTTTTTTTATTTTTATCTTCGCCCTATCAAATCAACAAGATTTATTTGATTACCCTCGTCACACTTATTCAAGGTTTTGAAAAGGTGACCCACCAATCAACTGAAACAAATTGAAACTGATTGATGGGGATTTTGAAACTTATATCCACGAAGGGGCAATTATTCCAATGGAGAATGATTTTACGTTCTTCTTTTGGTTTTTCTCCCTTCACTTTCTTTAGTAGTCAGCCTGTAAATGAATCACATCATTCTAATTCCTTAAAAACAGTATTGGGCTCTTCATAACCAAATATTCTTTCCCCAGAAATTCATGCCGGCATTAGATTTAATTACTGCTTACTGCCTCTGTTGTGTAAGGTTTTTTCCCTACATAATATTGGTCAGATAGATGGTAAAATATGATCTTAGTCAGTACAGGAGATAGTAATTACTCAAGTGCTTCTCCCTACCCCATACTCGATTGCCCAAAGGCATCTCGCAATGGGCTCTTGGACTCATTGCCCGATGGTAGGCACTCATTCAAATGTGTTTATTGATTAATGCCATTTCAATGCATTAACAGAACTATTAGTCGAACAACAAATAGTTTAGGAAAAACTGATCCAAGAGGCAAGAGGCGATTATTTTGTTTACAAAGGTATTATAAGGCAGTCCAAAAAAAAAATAACTACTACTTACGAATTCATTTGTTACATTATGATGGATTTAAAGAATCAAGGGAGAGATAAATTATCTTGTCATGGATCTATAAGCAATAAAATGTGACGTATAATTTTATATATTACTAAATACTAACGAATGATAATCATAATACCTTCTTGCTTTACGGCTGCAATTTCTTTAAAGACAAAAAGCTTAATTCACGTTGTTGTTAGGTCCCCATTCTTCAAGAACAACCAGCAAGTTCCCTTTTGGGTACAGCCATGACCATGGAATTTCATACCTGAACATATAAACAAAAATCCCAATCAATGTGCCTGGATTTGTATCAAGTAGAGATATGGAGCAGCAAAAGCAAAGCTGCCACTCACCATCTTTCGCCATGGTGTTCATATAAATCCAGAGCTAATGGGTCATTGCCTTGTGGTGAATCGAAAGTTGCCTAGGTAAGTGGACAGAACAAAATTTAGTAATGTGAAGATATCATATTTATGAGTAACATTTTGGTCTCATAATTCTCCAAGATGATTCTCAGTCTCACCTTGTACCATTTTAAGGGCTTCTTAACTGGTTATGATGATCCATCTACCCTCTTGAATGAGGAGCTGCCTAGAATGTATAGACACTCAAAGCTTCACCTTCCACACCGACCTTTTCAAATCAATTTCAAGCATTAATAGGAGTTGTCAGGCATCTTGTATTATCATTGTGATATTCCTGCTAATTTTCATTTTGTTTTCTGCTGAACCCATAAGATAATAATATGGAATAATCATGGAAATTGAAAACTGAATTCAGCTGCTTAATATACCCTTATATTTTAGTAGCCGTGCTTGTTACCATTGAAGTTGTTAGAAAATTATGATTTATCCGTTTGACTTTTTCTTTTGGATTCACTTCTTTGTTCCAAGGTAAAACCTGTGATCCAATTTCTTAGAATTATGGCGGCAGTAGAACGTTAGAGTAGTGCAGACGATGTACGAAACAGACCTTGCAGGACCATCTCCATCTAGACATGTCCCAAATCCCTGAATAAGGGCTTTCAATGTAACGGGGCCGAGAATTCCTCCATTGTGAAATCAATCGTGTGAGTTGACAGAAACAATGAAAGGGGAAAAAATAAGTTGGCTTCTCATACCTCCCATATGTGTGTGACAGAAAGCAAAATTGAAGTCACTATGCCTTAATGCACTTAGAACTTTATGCGGAAAAAAAATAATCCCTTCAATGCTACAGTATCTACCCGATAATTGACAATTGATGAAAACATCTAGACAATGACCTGCAGGTTCAAACGTGAGGATTGGAAGCGGTCCACTCTTCGGAAATCCTTCGCTGGCTTCCATGTTGACACTGTTGCAGGGAAAGAACGTTAACTAAAAATTAGTATTGGAAAAAGAAAATGACAAGAGTGGTTTTGCTTGATGACATATACTAGTATTTTCTCCAATTAAAAAGAATTTTCAGGGAATGGATTGATTTGATCAGTTGATTAAAGTTACTCACCTGTCATGCACCATTGATAGTCTGAACCCCTAACCCTATCAGCTGTAAATTATTTCTTTTCACCCACGAAAGCGGTTGCGTCGGTGTATGATTGCCAAGAGAATGTGCCAGCATTCACAGGCACCATCTGCGTTTGAAAAGTAGGACCAGAAACCTAAACACAACATCTAAGGTTGCCTCAATCCCGATGATCAATTTCTAATAGGAACAAGAAAAGGAGCAAGGGAAATGAAGGCATTTGACCAAAATGTGTACCTTGCATACTATCACCTTTACCGTGTTGAATATTACATTCTTGCAGTCAGGGAGGATGCTTTCCGACCATGGAGGGAGACCATATTGCATATTTCTGACGGTCACGGTCACAGAGTTTTCTTTATCATAGTTTGCAAGGAATGCTGCACAAGTCCTGGACCCCGACTGGAAAACACGGGCCTTGGCCTAGAAAAAGAAGGATTGTCAGTTTTAAACTAAGGGGAAGAGAAAGATGAAAAGCAGAAAAAGATATGTAATACCCCTCAAAAATATTTTATTTAAGTAATTATATAAAACATAGTAATTACTAAATTATAGCTTGTATTAAATAAATAAATAAAATATAATATAAATTTAACTTTTTATAATTGTAGATATGATTTTTTAGTTTATTAATAAAGATAAAATAGAAGACGGAATCTTTAAACCAACAGAGTAATTTAGTTAATGTCAGTTATATAATATTAGGTTATTTATCATGTTTAAGAGAGGTTAAGCACAGTTTTATTTACCACATTTAAAGGAAAAAGTAAAAAAGTTGACATCAATTTATTTCATCAAGTCTAAAAGATAGGTTGTGAAAAAAACTTAATCTTAGAGTAGAAGAAGAAAGATAGAGAAAAGAGAAGAAGAAAAAGATACAAAAAAAGGGAAAAACATTTAAAGGAGGTGCTGATTAATGTACGATTAAGTTTTGTGTTTTTCATAGTTTAAGTACAAAAAATTTAAGTTATTTTATGTTTATTTTTTATTTTTCATTGAAATCCAATACTGTTTCAGTGATTTTTTAATAGCATGATGGGTACTAATGGAAAGGTTGTAAAAATATTTTCTAATGGTTTTTATACCATGTCATTTGGCTTTATGATTAGAAAGATATGAATTTTTTAAGTTGATTAGGAAATTTGTTTTTAATAGTTTTGATGATCCAATTGGGTAACCTAAATATATTTTAAAATACAAATTCATTTTAGAAATAAAGATGTAAAAAATATAATTTTCAAAAATCAAAAATTATAAAATCATTGTTGAAATATCTAGATTTTTGAATTTTTAGATTTATGGAGTCTATTTTAAGACTTTAATTCTTTTGACACAGAAAGCTCTTAATTGAGTTATTGACACCAAACTAAATATCAAAGTAAAGAGTACATTTAACATTACTAAAATGTGAAGTTCCAATAACTTAAAAACTAGAGTTGCCAAAACTTTTAAAAACAAGCTGTTAAATTAATTTCAAAAATTCATATTTCTTTAACCATAAGATCAAGTGAAATGCTATAAAAACCATTAGAAAGATTTTTTTAAAACCTTTCTATTTGTACCCATCATATTATCGAAAAGTCACCAAAACATGACTTCATATGAATGAAATATAAAGAAACAGAAAATAGCTTAAGGCTTTTATGCTCAAACTATGAAAAATACAAAACTTAATCATACCTTAATCAACACCACTCCTTCAATGTTTTTCATTGTTCTCTGTCTTTCTTCTTCTTCTTCAAGATTAAATGTTCTAACTACATATTGTTTTAAGATTGATAAAATAAACTGATGTTAACTTTTTCTTAAATGTGGTTAATAAAACTACCCTTAATCTCCTCTATTTACTTTTTTCTTAAATGTGATAAATAACGTGATATTGTATAATTGATATTAACTAAATTATTCTATTTGCTTAAATACTCTTTTTTTTTCATTCTTTCTTATTTAATAAACTCAAAAGTCATATCTAAAATTATAAAAACTTGGACTTATATTATATTTATTAATTTATTTGATATAGATTATAACTTAGTAATTATTAATTTTTTATATAATTAAGTAAAATGTTTTTGAGGGGTATTAGAAGATACTAGGAAAGTCTTTTTTTTTTTTTTAATCTAAATCAGTTGAATTGAACCTGACCACCTCTTGGGGTTCACGAAGACTAATGCTTGGTTCACAAAACGTGATGGCTTTACGCTAATTCCTTAAGTGTCTCCATTTTGGTTCGCTTACAAGCCCTCTCGTACAAGGAATTATGGCAAAACGATTAATTGGAAATGATCTGATCAAGACGCCCTAAAATATATGAATAAATTGGTCTTCTTGGTCTCTTTGCAAGATCCTTGTAAGTGATAGTATCATATGCAGATTTAGCAGCATGTTAGTAGAAAACAAGGTTAATATCAAGGGGAAAACTGACTTTAGATTGCTATCGTTCTCACCATATTCGTCAATTGGAGCATCCTAGTCGTAACTGGTGGCGACAATGTCCTCCCGAAAGTTGTTCCTGCATGATACTGTAACCAGAGGAAATCAAAGGACTAAAAACAGAGTTATAAACTGCATTTGTGTCGATCAAAGTTAGGGTATAAGCCGTTGTTCTGTATCTACCTTGCAACCGCAAATGACAGGTCCTCTGCTGGTCCACCCCACTCCAATAACCTGGATGATGGGTTGGTTCTGCCAATGGCTATATCTACTTCTTTGCACAGAGATAAAATTGATTAAGAATAGTAACAGTATCTGTCCATATTTTTTGGTTTATATTCAACAGAAGGGGCCTTCCATATCCACAGCCCATTAAAAGTAACGGGAAGCCCAAAACTGATTTAATTCTGGCGGGAACTTCCGCCATCCTCTGCGGTTATAATAATCATCATCAACCGCCCGCCACACTCTGATCACCGTCTGAATGACTGACAATCATGGCCATGCCGCAGTCAATCACCGACCTCTTCGCTCGACTCGCTTCTCACCTTCAATTACCGATCAGCGAACGCGAAAACGAAGAGGAAGCTCTCAATCTCGCAATTTCGAAGCTAAGTCAATCTTTGAACCTTAACGAAACCGATTCTAGGGTTAGGGTTTTGGATACCGCTCTCTCCCTTATGTGCTTCGAGGCACCCCAGGTAAATTCCTCTACCAAGTTGTAAAGTTGTTGTTTTTACTAGATAATGCCCCCATTTTTATTACCCATTGGTGTAAATTTACGATTTTGCTTAGGTTTTGGATTCGGCGATTGAGTATTTGGTGAAGACGATCGTTAGCGTTTTATCTTCTTCAGTTAATTGCAAAGTTTTTCGGCTTCAAAACCAAGAGTTTTTGCTTATAGGTAGCGGGAGCTTGGGTCAAAATAGCGTGGAATTGGTTGCAATGTGTAACAATGTTTATGCAAAGCTAGAGGGAAAAGGTGGATTTTTTATGCTTTTTTTAACTTTTTTTATTTTTGAAATCTTTTGATATTGTATGTAATATCAACTCTTTTATTTGGTAACGCTAAACCTTTGTTATAATTATACTAAATAAAATAAAATAAATTGAAATCTGCAAAGGCAGGTAAGGAAGAGAGTTTTCATTGAGTTAAAACTAGAGAGGAGTGGAGTATAAAGAAGCCTGTTCTTGGGATTGAAATATTTTATCTAGTTTTTGAATGATAATGTTGTATTTGATTACCTATGTGAGAGTATTTTCTTTATGTTGCAGGGGTGTTTTCTCATTTGCTTTTACGTGCTGTTGTAAGGGTAGCAGTTTTGGCATCTTGCTATCTGTATTCACACCCATTTGTACCTATGCTTGATGTAAAATCAATTGAAGGAAGAAGCGCAGCTGTTTCAAAGTTGCACTGTCATTTACCCACAGAACTGTCCCTTGAAAATGAAGAGCTGCCTTTAAGGTTTGTTTGAATAAAAATTGTTATCACATCAATATAGAAGTTAATCATCTTTAATTTTCATTAAGCTGTTTATCCACAAACAGAATGCTTATAAATGGGAAATGCTAAGATAATCTGACAGCAGGGACAAGAGAGTGAGGAGAAAATAAGAGCTTGATTTACATATTTTAATAGATTTTTCTGTTTTTACGTTCTAGCATTCACCATTTCCGACAATATATTTGGTTCAATTTTGTTCTTTCCCTTTTTAAGGAAAGCTCACTTTCTTTTTCATTTTCATTTAAGTAAACTTTATTTTTCAGTTGGGAAATGTTATGCATGTTATAATGCTCAAATGTTTTGAGTTCGGTAATTATTTTTCTTATAAGGTACAATTCTGTTCTTTAAGCAGGTTGCTATTCTGGTATCTTGACCCACTAATTCTGAAGCAAGCTATCTCAAAGATTTTAAAAGATGCCACAGGCAGGCCTTTCCTTTGTTTGAGTGAGGAATTTCACCAGAGAATAGATTGGCGCGCTATCATTATATGCTTGGTGCTTTCTCCTGTTATGTTTATTGAGACCAGAGCTCTATTGCATAGCTGGTTTCTTAAGACGTGAGTTCCCCATTTCTTATTCTCACAAATGTTTCAATTTCTTGTTGACAATCGCTTTCATATGTTATGTGTGATACATCTCATTATTTTTAAAAAATGTGTTTTCTAACCATTTCCACATTGGTTATAGTGTCAACTTTCAATAACCTCATTTTACATTGTTTCTACACGTAATATTTTCTCTCTTAGGAGGAACATAGAAGCAGATTTGAGTTATTGTTTTATGTGAAAAGAATATCATAAATTGGCTGCCTCCATATTGGTTTTATTTTATAGCTTCCAAATAATGCAGCCAACACTATTTCATGAATATGTTTGAAGTAGAACAAGTGATTCAAAGCTCAAAACACTCAAGAAGTAATGTGAATTCTCAACCAAATTCTCAAATATCAATATAAAAAACTCAGATATCCAGAAAATATAAATAATTCATCACTCTAAGCCTGCCTGCAACTAAAATAACTTAGGTACTTATAACTAAATCTAAAATGCAAAATACCAAAAATAAGACTAACGCCCTAATACTAGGAAAAAAAGTAAAATACTAATTATAATAAACCTAAATAATCTAAAATAGCCTAATTAGATGTAAAAATTAGAATCAAACCCAAAAAATAGAAAAGTTAATCTCTTAACTAGCATAATTCCATCCTCCACCAATGTTACTTCAAGCATTTTGATGGTCAGACAGGCCTTTTTATTTCATGAACCAATATATTCAGTCTTTTGATTCCTCCCTGAATTTGTGTTATATCTTCTTTTTTCTTTTCAGCGTTAAGACAGTCATGAATCAGGATACATAATAATTTGTGGCACTGTGATCATCCAAGGCACTTAAAGTTGTTTTTACTTTTGCTGCTTCTATTAACCATGGATATTTTGATTATTGTTTTTGTTTTCATCTATTATAACCTAATTAACAAGAATATTTCCTCATTATTAGTTTAGTTCTAAAACAGGGGTCTGGCTTCTGTACTTGACCTTCTGGTTGGATTAGTGTCAGCAGTACTTGATGTAATTTCCAGACCAACATGGTGGGGCATATCCACGGAATTGGGATCTAAGCTGTCATTTTCCTGTGCATATTTCCCCAACAAGAACCATTTGTTGAGGATTTTAGCTGGAGCCTTCTCTGCTGAAAATTTCCTGCATTTAGTTCAGGCCACAAGTGAACACGTTTCTCTTGGTAAGGAACAACTACGTCCAGCCGTCAAGCCAAAATCAATGGACATTACTAGCATTGATCACAAATCTCTCTGGTAAACTCCAACCCCAAGCATCTATAAGAGTTTTCATCTTGACATTTTTCCCTGGCTAATGTAGGGTTCTCTCCCCGACCAACTCTTTACTCAAAATTAAAAAATTTAAGGTGAAATCTTTACCTTGCAGGGCTTTGGCTATAGACTTCCCAGATTGGTTCTATTTTGCTTCTTGTCTACTTTTCCCTGAGAATAGTCTCCAAAAAGAATTTCAATCAAAGTGCACATTTGCAGCGCCTAAAGTTGGAGAAACACATGATAAGGAGTTATTGTCTATATCTGCAGCGAGGTATATTTCATGGATTCTAAGCCCCATTAGTAAATCTAATCAGGATTTGCTAGTTGATTTTTTGATTAAAATATCAGAGTCTTGGGCTCTGAAACAATATGACTCAGTTATGCACAACAAAGAACCAGCTGCCTGCAAGAAGAAATGTAAGAAACCAAAACTTTATGACAAGAGGGATCATTATTCTCTGGCAAAAGAGTATGATTGTCAAAAGATGGGAATCTGGCTCAATGAAATTGAAAACGTATACCTTCAGTATGCTAATAAAACTGTCAACAGTTCTGCATCTGCTGATTCAAATGCATCCCATGTTAGCCTACAGCAAAATGTGCTTTTAAGGAGAATCCCTTTAGGCATCTTGATTGGGTGCCCCAATTGTATAACCGAGGATGCATGTGCACTGCTGCTGCACTATGCCGCAACTGGTAAGATACTTCAGCCAAGGGAAACTATGACAACTGGATTAAGACATGTAAAACAGAAGTCTGAACGGCCGGACTTAACTATATGGATGGACAAATGTAGTAAAAGAGATGTTTTAGCTGGTGCCTGTCTTGTTTTTACTTTGACAGATGCTGTTGATAGTATATCTGCTTCATTGTTCGATACTGAAGACAGTGAGTTAGAATATATTTACCAGGTGAAGGTAAAGGCTGGTAAGTATCTGATGAAGTGCATCAAGAGACTAAGCCAGCTTAACATCGACAAAGATGAAGTTTTGACGTTAAGGGATCTATGTAGTAGATTGGGGCGATGGAGGCATCAAGGGCGAGAAACATTACAAGTTCAGAATGAAATAGATGATGTCATGAATGACTTGAGTCAGAAATTATCTTCTTTATGAGAAGATTCTGTAAAGGAGAACTGACATATTGTTCTTGCCCCCTTACACCTTCTTCCCTCCATTTCCGTCTTTTCATTTGAGAGGGAAGCTCTTCTGCCCGCTTGAGTTTTACCATCATTCTAGTGTACAGGGGGAGAGATTTATCAATGTTGTGAAAAGAAATTGTAAAGAAACGATTGAATTGTGTATTCTTTTACATATGTGTGAATATGGCATAGCCTCCTTGCAGCAACTCAGTAATCCACTTAAACATCATTGAGTCTAGTTAATAGATCAATGATGATGCTACAACATGATGAATTAAAGAAGAAGACAGTAACAACCTCTACGAAAGAATTTAAACTCAAATTGCTTTTGAAATACTTGGATTTATTACTTTCCTGTTTATTTTTACAAAGAGAAGCAATGAAATTGCTTTCCTCTTGAGACTTACAGGCATAAATTGATTCCAGCAAGCTAGAGTAATCCTAGATTTTAGAAAGTGATCCTAAGTATTATGTATGAAGCTTTATCACACAAATAATAGCTTCTCTATGTACACAAAGCATCCTTTCAACCACTACACAACCAATATTTGGCATTGGCCAAACAGAGTGTGCTGTGTTCACTCTGTTCTTTATTGCCTTCTAGCAGAGTCAAATCCATATCATCTTTGCAGTATAGAATGTGTAAGCTTGAACTACCTTTAAAACTCACAGAGGCTGTGAGGGAGTATCTACGTACTGAATATGAACTAGTCTGGACTTAAATTTTTTTGGTTTACCACAGTTCTTTCTCTTTGGTCTTCAGTTGCAGGCAGCTTCAACTGAGAGCTTCTTCATGCTATCTGGACATGGATCTCCTCCAAAAACTTCTGGAGCCACGGTTACCAAACATGATTGTTTTCCAATGCAATTCTGAAAAAGACTCCCTTGTTAATTATAAATTACAGGGAAAACTGATATAAATTCAATATCCAGAACTAAGAAGGTACTGAAATCACAGCTGCCATGGGGCAAACTCATTTTTTGAGCTTCAACTCTATGGCACAAAAAAATAGCTCTACGAAAAGATCAAGTTCACAGCTTCAACAATTTATGCAGTGCAAGCAGACTATGCATGACAGAAGAAAAGATTAATTAAAATGATTTATTCATGAGAAATCTCGGAAATTCCATGAAACTTGGTAAAATAAATCCTTCAAATAGAAAATGGTAAATTTCTTACAACATAATAGGTAGGAACACCAAGGTTCCTTCACTACAGGCCACCCAGGGAAGTATCTAAACTGATAATTTAAATTCTATTTCTACCATGCTTCAACCTAAGAAAATTTATTAAGTCTGATGTTGGCCATTTCTTAAATTGAGAACAAAAATCAGAAATATTTGAATTGTAAGAGGTGTGTACAATCCTTTGGTATTAAGAGGAGAAAAGAAGCAAGAGTAACATTATTTTTCTGAATAACACCTTCCAGCGGGATTTGACGTCAGGTCAAACAGTTCCATATAAAGCTAGAGACAGACAGACCGACAGACAGAGATGTTAGAGTTTTGGGCATACCTTTTGAAACGCATCATATGACTTGTGGGCATGGCAGCTTCCCTCACGAAAGCTTCCACAAGTCCCCTCGGGCATTCCATAACTAGCAAACTTTATTTCAGAAATTTTCTGCCCAGGAGGACACCACAAATGGGCTTTTGGTCGATTGATTTTGCCAGAAGCTAGCATTCCCCAATTCTTCATTGTTGGTTGCGCTTCAAAAATATCAGCACAAACACTTCCGGTTGTTCTTTTGACCAAAGAAATTCCAGACGGATCACCGCCCCATTCTTCAAACACAACCATGAGGTTTCCACTTGGGTTCAGCCATGAGCGTGGAACATGGTACCTGAAAGTAAAAACTCTTCTATGAATATTTGAATTAGATCAACAAATGATAACAGAAGCAGAACAGGTTCTCACCATCTTTGAGACGGCTCTCCACAGTTAGTTCGGCATTTCTTATCACTATAAGTTCCAGCGTAATCACAAGCACCACATGCACCCCGTGCTATATATCCAGGCCAGTGGCGTCCAATGCTCTGGCCATTTATCCATATTTGCCCTTTTCCCATGCTACTCATATCTAAAGCCAACGGTTCATTGCCGCCCGGTGCATTAAAAGTTGTCTGCAAACAACAAATATTAAATCTTTAAATCTGGTTCTATCTTTTCAAGTATGGAATATGTTTAATCAAGGAAACTTACTGACCTTGTACCAAGTCATAGGTTGTTTCTTTACTAATAGCGATCCTTTGATCCATTCAACAGAGGAGCTTCCAGTAATGGTATGAAGGCTTAAGGCCTCCCCTTTCAGACCAATCTGCTCAGGATCATGTCACCATAGTGTATTAGTATATCTACATGCTAGTAAATGCAAAAACTCTCTGTAATAAAGGTAATTTAAGGACTTGGGTCAGTTTACTAACAAAATCTCCAGACATTAATTTTTGAAAGCTTTTTCAAAAATTCATAAATATTTAAAAATGCTATGAATTCTTTAACAGTATTCAAAAAAGTTCACACAAATCGAGAGGTACATTACAGCAATTATTAAGTTTTTCCTAAAATTTATTTCCCAGATCATTCCAAGAGTTTTTTTCATGGCTCATTTAGATAAAACCATTAGTTTATTTGTTCAAATGAATTTGATAAATTTATGTTCCATCCCTGAATTTTTCAGCCAGGTATCACTAGTCAACAAACCTTGTAAGACCATTTCTGCTTAGATAAGTCTCTTGACCCCTCATTGAGACCCTTCAATGTAACAGGGCCTAGAACCCCAGCATTCCACGTCTCGAAATGAACACCAACATTCTGAAACATTTGAAATTTGATAATAGGATAATTAGAATTGCCATATTCACCACTAAAATCAAAGTTAAGAAAAATCATAGCCACATCAGAAAGGTAACGGAACTAACTGGAAGTCCCACTGCAATGCTTAATAAAGAAATCTTGTTAATCCCAGCTCTCAGCTTGACATTTTTGCTGAATGTTAATTTTGGATTGTCCAATCCCCCATACAGAGTCCCTGAAATGAGAATAGGGTAAATATTGATGTTCATTCAAAACTTTAGGTTATCTCACAGAAGAATGAATGAATGAAAAGTGCCAGAGTATTGGTTTTACCGGATAATTGACCATTAATGAAAACATGCAAAGCATGACCTGCTGACCAAATGGTGAGAAGAGGATCTTGTCCACTTGTCAAAAATCCTTCATTAGGATCTATTTGTACACTGAGTGAACAAGAGCATGTAATAAAATGGTGTAAGGAAATTGTATATGTTTACAGAAGTACAAGAATATGTGTTATAATGTTTAGATCATCATTAGTTAAGATTACTCACTCCGTCATGTACCACAAATAATCTGAAGCATCTCTGGTGACATATATCTGTTCCAAGAGCCCGTCTTTTACAGTTGCATCCTGATCATCAGCAGAGGGACTTTCTTCATTATATGATTGCCAAGAGAATGCGCTGTTTATAGGTACCATCTTCTTCTCTGAGCTTTGGGCACCAAGCTGTGCAACGATTACAATCAGATGTTAAATTTTACATTAAAGAGCTCGTCATACAGATGGGACAGAAAGAAAACTCAGCTTTGATGTATAAAACAGAATAAAAGCTTGAATTTCATGTATTAAGACTATATAAGGCCATATTGTCTCTGTTGTAATCATTTACTAAGTTTTTTCCCCCATTTTGCAGAAAGAAATTATAGTGCTTATTCATATAGAAGTGATATGTACAAGAATAGTACAGAGAGAAAGTAGCCTAATGTACTGAAACGGGATTAACCCTTTTCCTTACCCTGGCAGTGTTGAAAACAGCAGTTTTACAGTCAGGAAGGATGCTGATGGACCAAGCTGGTAAGTCATATTGCACATTTCCGAAAGTAACTTTTACAGAGTATTTTGTGTCATAGTTTGCAAGGAATGCAGCACATGCACCAGACTTTGCCTTGAATACATGAGCCTGGGAATAAAAACAATTAACAATTATGAGAAGAGCAAATTCCAAAATTAAAACGGTGGGGTGAGTCTCTATGAGCAATTTATTTCCTCTAGCTAGAGAAAAAACTTACCTCCTGATTACTTCCAAGTGAAGTCACTGTAGGATCTGCAGAAACTAAAGCTGGTTCACTTAATTTGATCGCTTTATGCAAATCTCTCAGATGTCCCCATTTTGGTTCCCTTGGTAGCCCTGGTATAAGATCAAAAAGCCATTTAGAAGCCAGAAGAAATAATCTTTTGGGGCTTATTTTCAAGCACCTAGTTGTTGTATAGGTTTCATTTTATTCAGAAATCTTTCTAGCTCTTCCACATTAGATTCAACAAATTGAGTATTCCTCATCCTTCGCGTGTGAGAATAACATGTATTCATTTGTCACACACAAACATGAATGGTGCTCCCCAATTAACTAGTTGGAATCTTTAATGCTCATCAAGAAGCAGGTAAAAAAATTCAGCGCAGCGTAGTTCAGACTGCTGTTGATATGTACGTACCATATTCATCAATAGGAGCATCATAGTCATAGCTGGTAGCAATGAAGGGACCACCAGCTGTCCGCCCAAAATTGGTTCCTCCATGGTACTGAAGCAAAAAGAATGGAAAAGGTTAAAAACAAAGCTAGAGATCTTTCACTGTATATAACCATACATTAGGTGAATACAATTTACAAGGATAAGAGAGACGGGGGAATTTAATATACCATATAATAATTAACAAATGAACCACCATTCTGAATGAATCGTGCAACTGAAAATGCTATGTCTTCTGCTGGTCTGGTAGGGACAGCACCACCAAACTCTGTAAACCTTGGGATAAACAAAACAAAGGCCAAAATAGCATTAGTCTAAAGGAAGAACTTTGATAGAAGCAAGAGGAATGATAGTTATCGGATTTACTACAAAAAGCACTTTCTCGCCTTTTGTACAAATAAATATAAGACAAGAAAATTAAACAGTATAGCAAAAAAAGATTAGGCAATACAGGCAAAATTTGTGTGACTTACCAGCCAGTCCAGTTCTCTGTCCACATCTTTGGTTTGTATTTCGCGTTGGGAGTAAAATTTTCACAGTAGAATCCATTGCAAGTGTTTATCTGTCACCGTACAAAGAGAATAAGAGACACAGACAGAGAAAGAGACAGAGAGACAAAGAGATATCTGAAAGCTTTCTCCAATAGCAAGCGTATGTGATTACGAGTAATTCTACAGTTACTAGTAGAATTAACCCAGATAAAATTCCCCGCTAAGATAACCAGTAGAAACTTCCTTTTGAACTGAACCCTCTCACTTGAGAACAAGGTGGCTTTGATCATATCATGTCACGACGAAACACTCTTATTATTTCCATCATTATGAAACTCAGAAACGAAAAGAAGTTTCAGAAAAGACAAAAGCATTAAGAAAAGTATGGGAGACTAGGTGCCCGTGAAGTTGGAAATAAGTAAAGAGCAACCAAACGCAAAACCGTGTGAGATAAGGTTCTAAAATTTAAGGCCACCTTAGCTGGACAAAAAGCACTGTTAAAAACCCCACCAAGAAAGGAGGAGCACTAAATCAAAGGCCATACCAACAAATCTTTAAGGGAAAATGACAATAACAGAATCAATAGCGAAAGCTTTTGATACTAAAAATTAAAAAAGAAACATATGGCAGGAAATCTTACCACAGGGTCAGGAGCATCATCTTGCTTGCACATAATCCATGGGACTCCAGTGCCAAGTCCC